CGCGCGGACGCCAGTTTATTGAAGTCACGCTGTGCCTGCCGATAGCGGCTTGGAAAGCGCTCGGTGTCGCTTTCCAGCGCAGGTCCCTCTGCAGACAGGCGCCCCTTCCAGAACGCGCTGTCCTCCGCGCGCTGCGGCCGGGCAGGTATTTCAGGGATCAAAGGCGGCTTTTCCCCATGGAAGCAGCACGGTTTGCACCGGCACAGCTTGGACTCGGGCGCCTCGGACCCCTGAAGCACGAAGGAGCGTCCGGCTCCCGGCAATGTCCCAAATCCTGGTTTCCGCAGCCGCGGGGACAGCAGCGGAGCCGCGCAGCGGGTGCCGTGAATCTCCTGAGGCTCCCGGCCACGATCCCTTATGATCCCAGAGGTGGGAATTGTGTCCCGGATTTCCATAGTTTTCACCAGCGCTGCAGCCCCTGAGCCTGTTTATTCAGACCAGAACGGGAGGAGGCCGGGGGGGTTTTGCCGCAGCCCGGTTCGGATGCGGATCTCATTCCCGTCCTTCATGGAGAAGGACGTCTCAGCCCAGAGCAGCCGGTTTGGGGCTGTTTCGGGTATTTCAAGTCACGCACGATTTTTGTCTTCCTTTGTGAAGGCCGTCAAAAGCGTCGAGCGAGGCAGACGGCTCCTCTTTGGGGCATGGCTTCCCAAACGCCTCCATTTAAATGCAGATTCGCAGCCCGTTTGATTATGCCCTGAATCAGAGAGGCTTTTGGACACGGAACAGCTCGTAATAATCAACGACTCATCCCTCAATGCAGATATTATCTGCTGTGGAGCCAGCGTCACCGCGAGCCGCTTTGCAATAAGCAGGAGTGATTCAGGATGACTCTTCTTCCCTTCTCTTTCCCCTCAGCCTAAATCGTTCCCGTTACCTCCCTGGAATCTTGTTGCTTTGATCAATATGGATGGCGCAATCCGGTTTGCAGGAACAGGAATCCGTTTCGGAGGCGCTTTGCTCCTTGAGCCAAGGATCTGCTGCATCCCGATCCCGATCTCCTCCGTGATCTCCCTAGGGGTTCGGGAAGCGCCCGTGTTTCTTCTTGCCACCTTATGTAGCCAGGATATGTTGGGAAGGTTATGGCCGTTTGCATGGAAAGGAACGGGAGAAAACGGGATCAGCGCAGCCCGGTTCTGCTCAGGATGTTCCTATGGGATCCTCCAGGTTTTCCCGGACAAGCTGATCCCTTGTATCATCAGCTGGGTTGGAGCACAACCTCCTAGGCCAGCCCATGACGCTCTT